GCCGGCTCCCGCAGCGCCCAGTGCGATGAGTAAGTACAGCGGTGGTTTTTCTGAGCCTTCTGGGATGGGATGTGTGTGTGGCGTTGGGATTTGGGATACAGATCAGGCAAGAATGGATCTTGTCATCTGGTGCTAGTATTTAAAAAAAAAAAAGACAAAGCAGGGAGGAAGCTGGCCTTATAAAAATTCGTGAAGCGTTTTCTTCCTCTCTTTCAAGATCTGGTTTATAAAAACATCCATAGCTGTGGCAAGAGCCCCAGCAGCCCACGGGGGAGTTAACTTGCATTTCTCGATTGCATGAAAGCAGAACTTCTCCTCTAATGCCTTGTCCATCCCATTAGTCCCTATCGGACAGCACTGCCTTCACGCTTGAGCTCCGGAGGGGAGCGGAGGAGCTTTGGAGAGGTTTGTTCTCCAAAGGGATATTCGTTACACCAGAGGCAAGCAAAGCTTTGTGCTCTGCCCTTGCTGAGCATCATGAAAGCAGCAGCGTCGGCTCCTGCCTTGCCCAGCATTTAGCCCTGCCGCCTCCTCTGCTTTTCTGTGTCAGGAAAGTCACCGTAGCTGATGCTTTGAGCCCCTGTATAATGAGTCTGTTCCTCTTCATTCCACCATACCCACCCTCACGTTTTGCCTTTTAAAAGCCAGCATGCAATTATTATTTTTTTTTCCAACTTCCAGTGATCTGTCAGTCATTAGGGATTTGTTGCTGAGTTGTGGGTTTCACTTTGTTCCTGCAAATAATGGTCTGAGCAGCAGCCAGACCCTCTGGGTCCCCTGCTCGCAGGCAGGGAGATGCAGGGTCTCTCCCTGGAGGAGACCTCCCCCATCAAACCACCCTGCAGCAGCTTCCAGCCTCCTGGGCACCAGAAAGTCGGCGGCAAAGGCATTCCCAGATCCCCCGGCCCTTCTCCAAGGCCCTGCAAGGGAAGCGATACCCACGTGCGGATGCAACGGGATTCTGCGCTGCTGCCTCGCGCTGGCATCAGCCTTGTTGTCTTTGAGGGTTTGGTCTGGGCTCAGCGTGTGTTAAGCACCTGCACCTTCCTGCCAAGGCTGGGGCTGAGTCAGAATCGAAATGTCCTGCAGGAACATGCTGTTTGTAATTACTTTATACTTTTTCTGGTTTTTTTCCAGACACCCAACCCCTCTGTTGATGTTTCTTTTTTGTTTCAATGCTGCATTTTTCTGCTTGCATATAAGCTCTGAAAAATCAGAACTTAAAAGCAATGCTCTAGGTGACTGGAGTGACCTGCTCACTAAAGAAGGTGATTCTGGGGGCTGGAGCGTGTGGAGCTTTTCACTTGGTTTTTTAGGGGTTGTTTTAGGTATGGGAAGGTGTGTCTGGAAGCATCGGGGTTTGCCACAGGCTGGAACACCTGAGTTTGGTCAGATCGGCTGGGAAGGCCAATGGGGCAGAAAGGCGGATGGGACAAATCTTATCTTTGAGGGCTGGGAGGGGAGGGAGGAGCTGCTGGAGTGACTGGGTTAACTGGGAGGGAGCGTTCTCGCCTCAGCTGAGTCACTGGGCAAAGCACGGACACGGGTGCTGTCTGTCTCGCTGCGGAGAGCCAGCCAAGAAACGCCCTTGGGAGCTGCAGGTGAGATGCTCCGAGTGGGGAGAGAGAACGAGGTGGAGTTCACGCACGTAGTGAGCCATCGCACCTAACCTTGGTGTGTACGGACCCAGGCATGGCAGAGGACCTCCCAGCTTCTCTTCCGCACCGTTTTACAGCCTTGAGGGACATGGGAGGTGCGGATCCTTGGGTGTTTAGAAGGCAGCGTAGGGAAAAATTTGGAGGAAGACTTGGGAGGAGGACTGATGTTAGCAGAAGTCGCTCTGTGTGTCTCTGCCCTGCTCAGTGGGGTTTGCTGCAGACAGAGATGACCTCTGGGCATTTAAAAAGAGGAAAATTAGGTCAGTTGTCTGTGTTGTAGGGCTGGGGGCATTGGTAGGGCTGTGAGATGGGCAGCACAGTGATGTGTATGGGAAAATGAAGCGGGATGAAAAATCTGGTGGGGCTGATGCTCCCATCGTTTCTGTGGCATTGAAGTGGGGCAGCTGCGGATGGCAGAACAGGGCGAGACACGTCTGCTGCCTGTCTGTGCCTGGGATGGAGGGGGACTGGGTACCAGGCTGCATCCCTGCAGCAGGGTCCATCCCGATGGGTGCGAGAGCCTCTTCTGCATTGCCAGGAGGTGTGTGTGTGAGCCCAGGAACAAGGTTTTTGGTTCTTGTGCTGGAAACGTTGGGGCTGGAGCTCTGGGTTTGATGTCTACCTGGATGAGGGGTGCGTGTCCCTCCGGGCAATCCTTGCTTAGGATGAGGCACAACAAGCGTTGCCCAACACCAGCAACCAGCTTCTGTTTCATTGCCATTCAAAATACTGTAAGCTGTATTTTTAATTTATTTATCTTTTAAAGCACCCACCCAGCTCTAACTTGCACAAGTTAGTTCCTGCGTGCTGGCTTAAGAAAAAAGCGACCGCTGTTCCGAGGAGTCTCCGAGTGAAACAACGGCGTCTTTTTGGGCTCTGACCCTTTCTGACAGCAGCTGATTCGAGAGGCAGACTGCCTGAGGGCTGAGCTCTGGGGGCACACAAAACACGTCTGATAGGTTTCAATCAGCTTTTGTAAAACTGCCTTTTAAAGCACCACCATATGATGATTATTAGTATTATTTCTAGGCAGGCTCTATGGCTGGCCAGATGGCACACCCAAGGACACTGTTTATTAGCTAGACCCCAAATGCAGACTGTCAAATAAAAAGAAAAAAAATCCTTTTCCCGAGGCAGTCAGTTGATTTTGGGAATGAACATTGACCTGACATGCTGTCGCTGTGAATGGACTCCACGGCCACTAATCAAAGGTCTGGTTTTGCGGTGTTTTAAATTTCATTATCTGGGGAGATCTACGCAGATCCCCCTCTGGGATGGCAGAGGATTTCCAGGCTCTGGTTTGGGTGGGTTTTTTTGTTAGATGAAAAGCTGTCTGTAGCTGGAGCTTGCTGCAGGGCTGGATGCAATCCAGGGCTGCGCGGGGAGGGCTGGCATATCTCGGAGAGGGGGAGCGTGTTGTCCCCGCTGCGGTAACGCCCGGAAACCTCAGCTAAAACCACATTTCACTGGGCTGGATGCTGGGTAGACACTTGCTAAAGATAGCTGTGGCCTGGAAGTGTTCAGAGTCCGTAGAGGAAGGGTGGAGAAAGAAGCTGAAGTTTCAAGGGCCATGGTGAAGGTCATGGAGCAGGGGAGGAGGAGGACGGTGACTCACGGGGGTGCCCAGGGAGCTGGAGGGGCCGGGCCCCTGCTGCAGAGCCCTGGGGAGGGGGACCGGTGGTGGCCCCAACCCATGGTGACGTGGCCCCAGCTGGGAGCTGCCCCCCACCCTGAGCTGCATCAGTCTTGGCAGCTTTTGGGCACCTGGAGTTGAATGTAGTGCTGTCCATCTGTCTGTCCCCTGAGGAAGTGAGGATGTCCCTTCCAGGTGGAGGAGGCAAAGGGGATGCTGCTGGGGGTCAACACGCCCAGGCTGGCCAGCCCACAGCTCCCAGCCTTGCACCCCTGTGCTTTTATTTTTCTTTTTTCTTTAGGTGAGCAGAGTCCTGTGCCTGGTCTCTCATCTCCCACTCCCTACAGCGGGCAAGGAGCCAAGCAGCGGCAGCAAAGGCAGTTTAGGGGGGACGGGGGTCTCCAGCCTCCCCAGCTGGGGCAGCGGTGGGAGCGCTGGGGCTCCTCGCAGGGTCTCTGCAGCACCCCGCACACCCCTGCCCTCCACATCCTGCGGTGCTCCTTCGCCCAAAATGTCACTGGTGTCCCCAGGTGAGGCACAGCGGCTGCTCCCTGCGGCATTCCCAGGATGTGGTGGGGTGCTTCCTGGGACAGAGGAAGGGGGGTTGGTTCGGGGGAAGCCTTTCCCTGCTGCAAAGCAGCGATCGATCGTGCACCGGCACAGGAGCTGTACAGGCACGGCTATTTAAATGCACACGGAAATCATTTCCCTGTGTAAACCTGTGCCCTGGGTGGTTTATTTAAAGGAGCAGGGCTGCAGGCAGGAGGAGCCCAGCCTGAAAGGGGCAGTGTGTGGCACCCTCCTGGTGAGCTGGAGATTGCAAATGACTCTGCATTTTAAAAATTTATTGTTTACCTTGCTAACAGCACTGCCCAGCCCCATGCTGGTCTGCAAACGTGGGTAAAAACTGGCCAAGGGCAGTTCAGTGCATCCCAGGGGTCTGGGATGTGCTGGTGCATGGGGGGAGAGGTGGTGTTACCCCGATTTACCTCTTGCAAGGTCCATTTGAGGTTTTCCTACCCCAGCACACAGGCTTTGTGGCTTTGCTCCAAAGCGTGGCCCCGCAGCTGCAGGGACAGCGTGTTTAGCCCACGAGCAAGTGTCCCTGCGCGGGTGCTCCTGCACCCCGGGGTTTGGGATGTGAGCGGAGGAGAAGGGCTGCCACGAGATGCTGCGAGGTGCTGCTGCCTGGCTGAAGGGTTCAGCCTCAATTCCCTGGTTCTCAGGGACGTGGTTTGTGTGTTTAACTTATTCTGGTCCCAGGGAGGACAAGGTGATACAACTCCTGCTGCACCGTTACCTGCGCTAGCGAACAGGAGAGCTGTGGGCATTCAGGGATTGCCGTGTGGTTTAGCTAGATCCGGGTTAACCATCTAATCTGGGCCAGGTTTTTTCAGTTCTGTTTAAAAAAAAATAGCTGTAAGCTGAGCACACATATTGCTACCATCATCCCTAATGAAAAGAGATGAATGTTCAACTGGAGCCTGTGAATGAATTTAAATTGCTCCCTCTGCCTGTGCCTCAGTTTCCCCCCAAGCAGGAGGGTGATGGGAAGCAGAGGCTCTGACGTGCTGCTTGGAGCCGATGTTGGCTTTGGTTCCTGCCCTGCCCTGAACCACGCTGCCCGAGCGTGCGGTGCTCTGCTCCTTGGCTAACCGAGCAGCTTTCCGTGCTGCCGGCTGGGAGACGGCTCTGCAGCCTGCCATCCCGGGTCGTGCACGGTTCGTGCCGCAGGCTTGGTGTAAGTCATGTTAGAGAGAGCTCCTGTCACTCATTTCTGCTTTAAAAAAAAAACCAAAACATGCATATAAATGCCAAAGTGTTAATTCAGAGATGTATTGCCCCCCTCAAGGGGATCTCGTGCTTTGTGTTCACATTAGAGGGAACGAAGGCAGAGGGTCCCCGAGAACATTTACACCCGGCTGTCCCCCGGAGCAGGGCTGCAGTGAGGCTGGTGGCTGGGCTGGCTCTGTCCCTCTGTCCCTCTGTGCTGCCTTTGACCGGAGCAGGGCTGCAGTGAGGCTGGTGGCCGGGCTGGCTCTGTCCCTCTGTGCTGCCTTTGTAGGGGGCTTCTCTTTGGAGGGGCTGATCCTGTGACCCTCACTTGGGTGGATTTGTGAGAGCGTTGGTGGTGAGAGGAAGGGCAGCAGCACTGGATGATGTTCTTTGTTCAGGTCTTTGAATAAAGGAGGAAAAAAAAAAAAAGATAAAAAGCTGTGGGGGAGCTGGGCAGGGTCTGGGTTTGCAGAGGTGGTGGGGTGTGAAAAGGTGGAAAGAGACCTTGCGGGGGGAGAGTGATAAGGACCATTGGTCCTGGTGGTGTTGGGAAGCACCCAGGTGTGTCACCTTGGGCGTTGTGCGGTATGAAGGGACATGGGGCAGAATCTGGAGGAAATGCAGATCCATTGAAATTCCAGGCTTTTGTGGAGTTTCACCAGGATGGGGGCTCGTGGCAGTGGTTTGAGATGAGAGAGACCTCATGTTCCCAGGACTTCTGCCCATCCCAACCACAGGAGGTTATCTGGGGGAAGGTGGTGGTGTCCTCATTTTGCACAGAGAAAATCTTCATTTTCTGCCTTTACAGTGTCATCACACTTCTGAAATGGCTTTTCTTTGCGTGGGAGCTGCATTTCCACTCTACCGTATCTTAGCAGTCCAGTAAACCACACTGGGCACTGCTTCCCTTTGGAGAGAAGACCTTGGGAGCCTAACTCCTCAAGGACTTATTTTTTTAAAAAACTGGAAAAAAACCTGAAAAAACCCTTTCTCCCTATTTTAAAAAGCCAGCTCTCCCTTTGTATAGATCGGCTGAGCAGGAGTGGTGGCTCATTATCTCCCAGTAATGCCTTGTCAGCATCAGTGCAGAGAACAGATTTTTTTTTTTTTTTGGTAGCAGAAATTGTTACACGTGGACATCCTAAAAACAGAAGAATACCCCGTTTAGTGCATATTTTTGTGTGCTTTAATTATCTCCACCTCTCTCCTGTTACAGACTCTCATGTCCTTTACATCCGATGAGCTCTCCTCCTCTCTTCACCCCAAGCAGGCAGATGTGGTACCCGCACCCATTTTTATTCTGTTGCACACAGGCGTGGGAAATGAATGAGTGGCTGGACACAGCAGCAGTGAAAGGTGGATAGTTATTACCTCCCCTGCAGTAATTGTGGCTTCTCAGAAATCCTGTTATTTTGTTGATTTTCCAGCAGGCTTTGCTCTTCTGGTGGTGTCTGTTGCAGACTTGCTGCTCTGTTAAACGTTGACTGCCCTCAAAATGATATTGGCTCAACTTCTTAAGCTAAAATTCTAAAATTCCTAAATTTTTAGGCTAAGTTCTGGTTTGGGTGAGATGGTGCCCAGCCTGACTTGAGGCAGTGCTTGTTGCTGGTGCCTTTTTCTGCTGCCTGAGAGGAGGCATCAGTAGAGATCTGGGACATGGAGGGACTACGTTGGGCAAAACTGCTGTGTCCAGTGGGGACCAGCCCCATCTCCTGCCTTCCCCATCGATGTGTCCTTCTCTGCATTGAGGTTGCCTGTCCCATCCCCATATTGTCGTGATCTCCAAGGGATGCTCTGGGAAGCTGGGAGCCACCATTTGGGGTTGAGATTTTGCTGTTCATTAGGCTTTTACCACTTCTCTTTACACCAAAGCGTGGAGGAACCCACCCAACCTCTGTCTCCAGGGTCATCGTGGTCTCCCCATCGCTTCCTCCCTCCCCAGAGGCTGAGGTCACCCGGAGGAGATGGCACAGCCCCAGGCTGGAGGTTCCCGGCTTTCCCAGCGGTGCAGGGCATCCTTGGCGGGGGTGGCGGGGCCAGGGAGGCGGCGGTGGCCAGACAAGGTGGCCCTTTGACATTTACAGAATGGCCTTTCAGAGCTGTGAAGTGTCCCCGCTCCGTCGAGGGCTGCCATATAAACAGACGCCGTCCCCCAGCACAAAGCGAGGAATGCGGCGCACAATGGGCCAATGTTCGCCGCGATAAAGCCCCGCTTCTTCTGCCCGCCACAAAGGCTGCTCTGAGCGGGGCTCGGCCGTGGGCGCACCAACCCTTCCACCAACGCTGGTGGCTTCGGTTGGAGCCAGGGGAGCTGGGAGGTGACACCCAGCCGTGTGCTACCTGGGGCTTCTGCTCTCCGCTTCCCCACGTGCTGATACGCGAATTAATTGACCTAAAGGAAAATCAACACGCGGGTTACGAGGGTTCTCGGTTTGCCCGGGGTGAGTGTTAACAGCGTTGGTTTTCCGTGGAAGTGTCCTGGAGTGTTTCGCTTTGAAATGTTAACTTTTCTACGTTGTCTAGAAAAATGTAAGAGAGATTTATCCCCTGGCTGCTGTCAGATATCACAGAACATCAGCACAAAAGGAGCCGGGCTCGCTGGAGGAATGCACCATTTTTAATGACATCTCTTCTGAATCCTCCTCATCTTGTGCAGCATCCTTTTGTCTTATTCCATCAAAGACTGACAAAGCCTTTTCACGAGGGTTGTTTTACAGATGCTCGTATTTCAGTGCGTTTCTCCTCATTCATACGGAGCGCTGTCATTGCTGTTAATTGTAGATGTTCCAGGAACACCTCCAGGCCCCGCCGGGATGAGTGATGGGCTCATCCATCATCGGAGGGTGACAAGGCAGTGGCAGGGAGGGGATGGGGAGGCAGCTCCTGGGGATGCTGCGGCGTTGGGGAAGGGCTGGCAGGAGCCCTCGCTTTCCTCTTTCTCGCAGCAGCATGGCTCCTCATGGAATCCCAGGATGGTTTGGGTTGGAAGGGACCTTAAAGCCCATCCAGTCCCACCCCCTGCCATGGGCAGGGACCCCTCCCACCAGCCCAGGTTGCCCAAAGCCTCATCCAGCCTGGCCTTGAACCCCTCCAGGGATGGGGCATCCACAGCTTCTCTGGGCACCCTGGGCCACTGCCTCACCCCCCGCACAGGGAAACATTTCATCAGCTCTTCTGGGATGGTCCTGGCAAGTGATGTGGGCCTGGGTGATGCTGTGGGATGCAGGGTACGCATGCTCTGCGCTTCCAGATGAGGATGGTAAATGTATCTGGCAAAGCCAAAGCTCTCCTTCAAAGCCATGGGGGGGTTTTGTGTGGCTCATCCGTGTGGTATTGCCCTGGTGTGAGACCCATGGGAGCTCCCTCCTTCTCTGACTCTGCCCCAAAATCTTACTGGACTCTCCTGTTTTAAAAATAAAGGCACAAAAGCTTGATGCCGAACCGTTTTGGCTGACTCTGACTTGGTCAGGCAGCCCCTGGGCTCTCAGTGCAGCTGGGTGTGCAGGTTTTTCTGGCAGCTGGGAAAACACTGAAAACTAATTTCTCCCTTCCCTCCTCCTTGGGAAGAAAAAAAAAGAAGAGAAATGATTAGAGCTTGCGAAGGGTTTTCTGTTGCCACTAAACCGTGCACAGCATGCCCCGAACAGCCTTTACGGCTGTGGTCCTCTGTCTTCCCATCCATCTCGTGTCTGTCACGTCCCTGTCACCTCAGGATGTTCCTGTGGAGGAGGAGCAGGGACCCATCGCGGGTGCAAGTGCCCCTTGCGGTTTCTCTTGGATCACAGATATTTTAATGCTTTTTTTTTTTCCCCCTGCTGTGATGAGGCTTCGCGTTCCCGTGCTGTCTGTGCTGAGCGGTGCAGGGTCAGGGCAGTGCCTGAGCTCCCGGTTGGAGCCCGGCCGTCAGTGTGTCCTTCCTCGGTCGTCAGACCTGGCGGAAGATTGTCTGCAGGATGCTCTGCGGCTTCAGCCAGGCACGAGGCAGGATGTCGGAGGTGTCACCTCTTCTCTGGGCTCTGCATCCAGGACACTTCCAGGTGGGGTCAATCCTCCTGTTTAACAGCACAGAGCGGGGCTCTCCCTTGTATTCCCTTAACTTTTGGAGCTGTAAAGCTGCTGTCCCATGTAAAATCCCACCATAGGGAATTTTTTTTTTTTCCATTAGACATGAATCTCTTGGTTGGTGATGGGGTCTCCTGCATCCTCTGGCTTTTGCAGACGTATTTTGAGCTGTAGGCTGTCCCCTTTGCCCAGTATTTTATTTCCAACCCCCCTCCCCAGCATCTGCTGCTGTGCTGCTGCCCTGGGTGGCCGCATCCTGCTGCCGGTGCCATCCAGCCCTGGGCTGTCACCCTGCAGCCATCGAGGCAGCAGCTCCCGGGCATCACACGAAGCCCAAGGGCTGAGGGCAGTTTGCTGCAGGAGCTCCTGCCCCAGGGGGTCCCAATCCTGGTGTCCAGCCCTCGCCCCCGGAGGGTCGGATCGCTCGGTGCTGGATCCGAGCCTCGCACATGGTCTGACCCTGTCCCCGCCGGCCGGCTGATCACCGCCTGCTCCTTCTGCCAGGGTCTCTCGTGCTGGTGATGGCTTTAATCATTAGGAAACGTATATAAAGTTGATGGATGATGTGATGCTGATATGCACTACCTACATGGTCTTTAAAGTAAGTATATTCATAAAAATCTACTAGAAACCAAGGCTGGCAGGAGTCTTTTGTTACTGAAAGTCTGTTTTTGTCCCAACACACACTTCCATCCATTCTTTTGTGAGAGCTAAAAATTGGCTGGCTTTAGTGGAGTTAATAATCATCTGACGTGGATTTGAGCAATTGATGTTGCTGCATCAAAATGTTTTCCTCCTCCTTTCCCCCCGACTTTCCCCAAAATAAGAAATTCCTGGCTGATTCTCAAAATCCTGCACAGCTCTCACTGTGCAAGTATTAAACTGTGGGTCTTTTCTTTCAAGTTTCTGGATTTTTATGGGCACAATCGGTCTGTTAACAGGACTTTTTTTTTTTTTTGTGGTTTCAATGCATTTCTATCATTGACCTTTGCTTTAAAAAGTGTCTGCCAGTCTTTACTGGACTGGAGCTCTGAAAAGGGGTGTTGTAAGGGGGCTTTATTCTATGGAAGCAGTGACCACAGGCAAAGCTTTATATTTGCTGAGTGATTTAATTCTTGCACATGCAGAACTTGGCTCTGTGCCATGTGTAACATGTTGAGAAAAGGTCTGCTTGAGAGGCATTTAACCCAAACTTTCCAAAACCCGTCTTTTTTTTTTTAAATAGCTTTCTTTCCTGTTATTTTTAAGCTAGCGAGTAAAATCAAGGGATGCTGCCCCAAAATGCTGCATTGAGCTCTAGTAGAGTCATTGGGGAAAGAAATAAAGGGGGAATCTGGGTGGAAGGGTGCCAGCTGGGAGGCAGAGGAGGGTGTCATTAAGATAAAGGCTTTATCTAGGGACAGGGGAGAGTAAAACGGGGCACCCTGGGCTCCAGGAGGGAGCCTGGGAGGGTGAGGATGATCCAGCTCTAGTGCTGGGTCCTGTAAAGCCCAACTCCGAGGGCACATCCCCAGAAGATGCGTTTTCAGGCGAAATATCAGATCCCCCCAAATTAGTTGCTTTTCCCTGCTTGGCTCTGGCTGTCCTCTGTCCACTTGCAGGAGTATCTGTCCAGTAGCGTTCAGAAACAAAAACAAACTGCTTTTTGTCTTCTCTTGTTCTAAACACTGTGACAACATTTGGATTAATGTTAGGTCTTGTGAAAAGCTCTTTAAAAGTCAAACAGACTGAGCTGCTTAACAGCGTTCTTTTGAATTCTGCATCTGCCTGCTGCAATCCCAGACCATGTCTGGAGAGCAAGGAAACAGCATCTTTCTTTTTCCTTCTTCTAATCAGTCCATTAAATACACCTGAAGTTGCATATTCTGAAACGATTTAATTGTGTAGCCACTTGGGCTCAGTTCTGTGTTTTGCTGTGCCTTTGAGTATTTCCTCTTCCTTTGGCAAACAAACGAACAACAGCAATACTAAATTATGTTAATTTCTAACAGAAGCAACGTCTTCCCCAAAACATTGCAATCTACTGCGCTTTAATTAAAAACAACCCATCAACAGTGCATCAAGCCATTTGTAGCCTCAGCCTCTATTAGTTTTAATCAACAGATTTTTTCCAGGGGCTTTTAGAAGCAAATTGTGCATTGCTTGCTCTTCCCAGGAGGAGGGAAGGAGAACAACAGATTATCTTTGTGCAGGCACACCGAACCCTGAAATACAGAATTTTAAAAGTGTATGAGGAGGGTGGAGGTTATATAGGGGGAGAGGGAAGAGGAGGTGTGCGGGGGGCTCCGTGGGTGGTACCCGCCTCGTCTGCTGCAGCCGTGGATAAATCCAGCTCCTGGAGGAGACCCCATTCCCTTTAGGTGGGATGCTGTCCTGGCTTCCCTGGGCAGGTTGAGGTTTCTTGCAGATCTCTGCACTTCTGCGTTCTCTTGTCCTTGGCATCGGCGTTAACTGTTCCCACGTGTGCGGGTGGGATGAGCCGCAGCCGGCAGTCACCATGCCGGGGGTGGATGGGAAAGAGCATTTTATCCGTTCCTGCGATTTCTCGGAGAGCTGAGCCTAAATGCTGCTAGCGTATAAAGTTGCTTATTTGAAGGCTCTCCATGGAAAGACTGGCATGGAAAGGCAAAGGAATGAGGGTGTCCCCTGCTTTTATAGCCTCCTTGTATTTACACTAATACCCTTGATTTTGGCTGTACAGAGCTGCACCTTCGGCACAGACTGTGCCCGCCCAGCAAAACGGGCTCTGTGCTGGGGTCAGCTGTGGTGGAAACTGCTGGGGAAGGGAAAACCCCCTCGGTCTTTCCCTGGCTCCTCCTGGGAAGAAGTGAACTGGAGAGAGAGGCTTTGCCGTGGGGATGCTGCGTGGAGGGGATCAGTGGGAGGTGGCTGGTGGCCTGGGCTGAAACCCCCGCGAGACCCCTGAGCTGCTGCGCCGGCTCTTGGGGGAGCTGGGAACTGTGCTGAGCTGGGACTTGTCCACTCGCCCCAAAATCCCAGAGGTGCCTCTCAGCGCCGATGCGGCAGGGAGGTGATGATCCATGTGGGTGCTCTTGTATCGTTCGGGTGTAGTGAGCACGGGTGTCCCAGTGTCCTGCAGGACCCCCGGCTGGTGCTTGATGAAGCCGGGACTGGAGAGCGGCCGTCGGAGCATCTGCTGGGGCTGATGCAGCGGGATGGCTTTGGGCCAAGGCTTTCCTGAATGAGTGATGATTTCTGGTGCCCAGCTGGAAATTGCTGTCAGGGCAACTGGTTTTGCAGGCACTCTGTCTTTCCGGCGCTCCCCATAACTTTTTGGAAATTGTTGTCCATGGGTTTCATGTCGTGCTTCCAGCAGGAGTTTCTGTGCAGAGTTCCCTGTCCAGAACACTGACCACGGGTTTGTACTTTGGATCCCTCCCCCAGCACATTCCCATTTCACTGTTGTTTTTCCTCTGTGCAGCTCTGGGAAGTGCCAGTGTAAGGTGGGTGTCACGGACCCGAAGTGTGACCAGTGCAGCGATGGATACTACAGGTTTAACGAGACCACCTGCGAGCCGTGCCAGTGCAACAACCGCTCCAAAACCTGCGACAGCCTAACAGGTAACCTGCTTCTCGTGACCATGGCAGGTGCAGGCTTTGCCTGTCTCCTCTGTCTCTGGTTTTTTACTATTTTCATTCAGCAGACCTCTGCTCTCACCCTCTTCATCTGCATCTTTATGCCTTGAGTGCCCAGAATCTTCACCTTAAAACTGAAATTAAAACGCAGGGCAAGGCTGGAGCGACTTCTCTTCCCAACAAGGTTAATAAAGGCTGCGTTAGTTACCCCAGGCTGCAGCGCAGAGCCTTTGTTCTGCAGTCTCTATCGGAAATCAGTGCTCTATTGTTCTCTGCACTTACACAAATACACAACACAGGCTTTTGAGGAGCTTTTGTTTAACTGCTGTTTACCTGGAAACATATACTGTGCTGGCACTGACGTAGGGTGACTGTTATTGCCCCAGATAACATGATTAGTGCTGGAAAAAACTGCCAGCACTTAATTCATATTGCCCACTTTTTATAAATGTGCCTTGTTCATTTTCCTTGATCATTTCTCTGGCTGTCCCTCGCTCACGCAGATGTTGATGTAGTGTAAATGCTGAAGAACCTGTGCTTGAATAGCTGAGGGGAGGGCAGGGGGGAACCTGATTGCTTTCCCATCTCCTCTGAAAGGAGAGATCCCGGAGGAGCAGTGTTATGTGACTGCCTGCACAATCCCTGCTTTAGCAACAAAACTCCCCCTTCAGAATCGAAATTCTCATCAAAACTTGCAGGCTGAAATGCAATTCTGTAGTATTTATCCAGGAGCTTAGAAAAGAGCAATAATTTAAAAATGTTGCAGGTTTTTTTGCATAGCTGGCACAGAGGCAGAGCTCATCAGATACAGGATTTCTGGGGAATTTCTCTGCCGGGGTCTGTTCCCTTGTGGCCTGTGTGTTTGCAGCAGAGGAACGGGGGGCCGCAGTGCTGGCTGTGCCCCCAGTGCCCTGGTCCTGCTCAGCATCGGGGGCAGCGGCAGGCACCAGATCTGCACTGCTTGAGGATGAATTATTGCATTTCTTCCTATACTGACCTTTACGTGCTGATGTCCTACTGATATTGAAGGTTATGGGGTTGTACCTAAGGCTGTGCACACATCAGCTGTGTTGCTGATTTGGAGCTGGGTGTGTGGGCTTTGTGAAGGGGGAAGATAATCTGCTCTTCCTTTTTCTTCCTCAATGTTTCCCCCTCTCTCGTTTTTGAAAAGAAAAAACAAAACAAAACAAACAAACAAACAAAAAAAAACCCCGTTGCAGACCTTGCCTCCGGGATGGGGCTGTCCAGGCAGCGCATCTGCTGGGTCTGCCCAGTGCTGACCGCAGCACTGCAAAGAAAGACCCTCTTTTTGGTTAATGACCTATTGTTGATTTGACAAAAATCCCTTTTTTAAAAAAATTTTCCTCCATCTGTTTTATTTGCTGCCGGGGCTGGGGTAACCCAACAAAACCAGAACAGAGGACAGACGATTAAAAATTAGATCCGACATGTAATAAGTGAGGCGGTGCACTCAGCCTGCTCGGGAGACTGCACTTTGTGTGACCTCCCCAGCTCTCCATCAGCTGTGTGCAGTCTTTGTCACATTTTCAAGGTTTCTTGCGCATTCATGCCGTACTTCGGGCTCCCTCTGCCGGCTCCGTATCAGGAGGAATATTTAAAATTCCTGGAAACTGGGCAGCCAGAGCTCCCCAGGCGACAGCGCTTCCTTCGACACGACCCTCGTGCCCCGTGTTGTTCCTGGGCAATGAGTTCGGTGGCATCTGCCCCAGCTGAGGTACTGAGAGTCCTGATCTTTCCCCAGGGTGTTATCAGGATGGGAAATGCCATTAATTATTAAGGCTTTCCAGGGCGATACCTGATTGCGAGCCCATGCATGCTTTGCACGGCTGAGCAGCTTGCTGACTCATTGGAAACGCAGCCATTTCGCAGGGCTGGCGGAGATAAATGTGAGTAATTTCCGCCGATGGGAAAGACATTGATCCTGAAATGACCAAGACTGTACAGAAAGCGCAGGTGTGATTCCAGATTTATACCTCCATTAGTGCCTGCAGAGCACGGTTCAAGGCGCCCTAGGCGCCGATGGGACAAACCGACCTCGCACGAGCCGGCTGCCCCGGGCGTCCCGCTGACGCAGCTGATGGAGGCTTGCAACTGGAGAAGCCGAGCCCAGCAGATCATTTTTCCCCTCTAACCCTGACATCTCTCCCACAAAAACCACCGGCTCGTGTCTGACAAGCTGCTGGGTGAAGAGCGGACAGCGTGTGGGAGCTGACACCGTGCAAGTGGCCTTAGTCATCGGGGTGCTGCCAGCCCCACCGTGCCGGTGGATCAGCCACTTCCCCAGAGGGGCAGCTCCCAGGGGTTGTTTCCTTCCTTCGCTGCGAGGATCGGCTGGGAGGATGCGCCAGGCTTGCTCAGGGATGCTCGGCTGCAAAGTCATCGCTGTGGAAAGGGAAGAGTAGGAGCCGTGCAGCGTGCTGGGCTTGCAAGGGAGCCAACCTCTTCCAGTATTAATAAGAAAATCCACTGTGGTTTTTTTACCAGTCAGCATTAACCTAATTCAGGATTTTTTTGTGTGTGCTTCATGTCGATATGAGGCTTTTCCGTTCCCCTGCAGCAGTGCTAGATTAGCTCCGTGAATCTCTTGTCTGTGCAGGGAATAAACTGCTCTGTGCCGCCCTGGGTTGTTCGAAGGCGGCTGTTGCCTTTTCAGAGTCTTGTACACGGGATTTAATCAAATCAGCTTCCCTCAGGTCACCGCCGCCTCGCCTGCTGAATTACAGCTGTGCCTGTCGATGGATGGTGGAGGCGGTGTGTTTATAACTAGGGAGGTTTTTCTTTCTCTGGTCACAAGAATATCAAAACACAATTTGAGGGCCATTAGGACACAGCCTCTGCTAGGACACAGCATGTTGATTTTCTGATTCAGGGCTTTCCCCAGGAAGGGGAGGTGGCTCATGTGAACCCCCAGTTCTCCTCTGCTTCTCCGAGAAGGTCAGGAATTGCTGCTGCCTCGTGCCTGTGATGGGGACGGAGGAGCTGGAGCCACACGGTGGGATGGAGCCGCCTGCCCGGAGCAGGATGGGGGCAATTCCTCACCCTGACCAGGAGCAGGCTGCACACAGAAAAAGGGCAAAGGCATAAACCAGAGGGACCCCTCCTGGGAGTGGGGGATTTGAAGCATCAAGATCCCATCCCACTGGCACAAATGCAAACTGAAACCCCCTCCCATGAGGACCATTCCTAATAAAGATGGCACATATTTACCTGCACTGACCTTGTAAAGTGATGAGCGGGGGCATCTCTGCTGGGGCTGCCTGCTTTTTCATGTCCTCTGTGTGTGTGTGAGGAGGGGGAATGGCCATCAGAAGGTCATAAGAGGCTAGGATCATGTTTTGGCCAGAGGGCATCTAAAATCACCGGTGAGCTCTGATAATTGAGAGCGCTCCACGCAGATTCTTGCTCCAAATGTTCTGCTCCAGTTCCTGCTGCCAACCGGTTGCTTGTGCTCCTGTCCCTTCCCCAGGCACCTGCCTGCACTGCCAGGAGAACACCGAGGGAGCCCGCTGCGAGCTCTGCAAGGAGGGATTCTACCGAAGCACCCAGCCTGCCCACGCCTGCCTGCGCTGCCCCTGCTCCACCGTGGCATCCACCGGCACCTGCCGCATTCGTAAGGCTTTGCTCTAATTCCTCAGATAACCAACGTAGCTCTTTTCAGTTGGATTGCTGCTCAAAGCACGTCAGCCTAGCGAGGCATTTTATAGCCCGTGAATCTCCTGATTGTGGGAACCGGGGCACCTTGCTGGAAGCAGCACCTGCCATGACGTGTCCCTGGTGCTCGCGTTGCCTCTCATGAGAGCAGCCGTGCAGCGGAGGGCATCAGAAATGCTTCGCTACAGGCTGCGGCTCGCTCTGAAGAACCTGCAAATTTTTGCAGAGAGGAACTGCTGGGCTTGAGGCAGGCAGGAGAGGTACAGGAGATGGCCAGGGTGCCACGTAGCCACCCATGCCCCATGGGACCCCAAACAGAGATCCCCCAATCTTCCTGCTCTATTTTGATGTAACCAAGAGAAGTCGCAGCTGTAATAAACACGCGTAAGACTTTTTGATATTTCCTTAATCAGTTTTGCAATCAAACCATCTCTGGCTTCATGCAGGCTAAAAAGTTCCTTCAGGTTGCTGACATCCCCAGTATATATCCAGCTGTTTTCTGAAATTGGCTGTTTGAGATGGAAATGTTCAGGAGCAATAACCTGTTTGCTTAGCAACGTGCTGAGCATGCTCTGTGATGCTGGGATGAGGCATCAGAAAATCCCAAAGCGTTTTTTTCCCCTAGGAACAGAGAAACTGCTGCAGTTTAAAAGTTTATTTTCAGCTTAAAATTTGAGATTGGTTAATACATAGTGGCTGCTGATTTTTGTTGTAGTGAATTGAGGTCGGGTCCCACAGCACACACCCCACTGTGTTTTTTCCACCCAGAGCTATGGCACGTACCCATTTTTCTTTCTGTATTCTCTAGAGCCTGGCGAAACTGCCCCAACATGTGACAAATGCAAAACTGGGTACACTGGCCCGAACTGCAACCGCTGCGACAACGGCTACTACAACTCCGACAGCATCTGCGTGAGGTGTAAATGCAACGGGAACGTGGACCCGGCACTGTCGCCCCGCGTGTGCGAGCCGGAGAGCGGGGAGTGCATCGGCTGCCTGTACCACACCGCGGGGGTCCACTGCGAGGAGTGTGAGGATGGCTACGTCCGAGACTCCGAGGGGACCAACTGCACCAGGAAAGGTAAAACAAAGCTCTGCAAATCAGGGTCGAAGATTGCTCGTGCGGCTCAGGTGGGCAGGAGCTGCCTGAAGGCTGTGGATGCTGTTAATTGTTCCAGTTGGTTTAGATTCATCCTGCTTGTGGTACAGGGAAGGAAAACAGACCTTTGTGACAGGTTGGCTACGTCCGAGACTCCGAGGGGACCAACTGCACCAGGAAAGGTAAAACAAAGCTCTGCAAATCAGGGTCGAAGATTGCTCGTGCGGCTCAGGTGGGCAGGAGCTGCCTGAAGGCTGTGGATGCTGTTAATTGTTCCAGTTGGTTTAGATTCATCCTGCTTGTGGTACAGGGAAGGAAAACAGACCTTTGTGACAGGTTGGTGCCTACTGGCTTTGACATCGGCGGGGTCGGTTGTTTTTTTGTAACCACCCCAGTTCCCAGCCTGTGTCAGGCTCCTCCAGTGAACAAGATGTGAAAAAACCCTCTATTTGCAGTGTATTAAAATGTAGTTTTTCAGATTGCCATTGTTTGATATACTTGATCTCTTAGTGCCCAGTGGATTGTCCTGATTGACTAGTCCATCAACAGCACTGTCTAGCTCCCTATAAAGGGTTTTCATAATAAATTGTGTCACTCCTCATACTCTGCAAACAATAACTATTTGGACCAAGCTTATGTATGTATTTATTTATTTATTTTCATTCTAAATGGGGAAGCAAAAGCTCAGAGAGGTGCAATCCAAGCTTGCACAACGAGTCAGTGCCAGAATTTACTGGTACCTGCTTTGGGGGTCTCTTGTCAGGCTTCAGTACACATCCAAGATACTGTCTGCAACATCTTGGACGTAAACTAGCTCTGGTACTCAGAGAGGCTACTGCATAGCTGGAGGACTCTCAGTAAAATGAGAGAAAATGGTTCTTAAGTTGTTCCTTCAGTGGGTATCAGGAGGTTGGTCCACAAGGTGGATCTCCAGCTCCACGCATGGAAATATTACTGGTGTTATGTGTTACATAAGAGAGCCCAGAGTTCAGGTAAGTACCTGGGCCCAAATTCGTTCTTGTCACCAACAGAGATTTAATTCACATCTTCCATTAGGAGCTAATGTGGTTTCCACTCCCATGCTGCTCTCTGGAGGTGTAATCACAGAGTCCTTCTCTGCGCAGGGAGGTGATCAATACAAAAAAGCTGAATGCTCGTTAGCTGTGACTGTACCGGTACAGGGCTGGAAATGGCACTTTTGCATCGGGTCATCCATTATCTCCCCTGCATGGCTTTGTCTGCACAAGGAGCTACGTGACCTTGCTCCATTAAAATCCATGTGTATGGCTCTGCTTGCATACTTGTAGTTTTCACCATCCGTTGTATTTCAGTGATGTTGTTATAGGCAATTACTGGCGTGGGGAAGGACTGTCCCCTTTCGAAGGGACTGGGATATGCTCTCCTAGCTTTCCTGTTTCCTTGACACCTGTTTTTGCCTTTTTTATTAAGCAATTAAAAAGGTGTACAGTTTCTTTTGAGATTCTTGCACACAATTTGCCTAAAACTTGCCATGCTGAGGTATCTGCATTAACTAGTTTTAGGTTGAGAATTTCATCAACCACTACTGCATTTGAGTGGCCTGGTTTTGCGTGGCTTCCAGAGTGAAATCATCACCCACCAGATCTGCAGATGACATTGGTGGAGTCTGAGGCACTAAGTGGCTGTGGTCGAAAAAAGACAGCGTGTGTTGTACCAGCCTCTAGTATCCACAGGGACCGTCCAGTGTCTGAAACCTGACCAAGATCTTGATTCTGTCAGGGCTGATGGAGAGAATATTCAAAGGCTGTGGAGGATGGCCAAAGGCAGGGTTTCTGACCCCTGGATGGATGGATGGTGTTCGTGCTGTGACGGTGAGGCACAGCAGCAAGGACTGGGTGATGCAGCGTGGCACCATGCCACCCAGCCGCGCATCGCAACCTTTCCGAGAGCTGGCGTGAGGGCTGCCGGTATGGCCCTGGCTCCTCTCATTCATCGCAGGAGGCAGCAGAAGCTTTGCAGAGGCTGCATGTCAATCAAGCAGCTGGATATGATGCTCATGTCAAAGCTGCTGAAGCAGCCCATTGACTGAACAGCTGCTGCTCTCAGGGAGCTGCTTCAGGACATCTGGAGGCTGGCACGGCCCCGGGAGCGGAAACAGGCATGGCTGTATCACCACCCGAAAGCGACGGTGCGCGGTCAGAGCACGGCACTGTTTCACCATGACATTACCATCGGTTCCAGGAAATGTTTTCACCCAAGTCCCCCTTGCCAGCACTTAGCTGATGCTGACTCAAAGCCCTGAAAAGTCCTGTTTCCTCGCTGGTGAATCAGCCATTGTCTCTGTTCTGGCTTTTCTCTAATTATAGCTACTGGCAGGGTTTGCCAAGAATTGAGTGTTGATGAAGGAATTTGGAAAGGATGACTGAATTCCTCATGCCCTTCTCCCAGAGCTGTATCCAGGAACCTCTTGCTCCTGCCACATTGTTTCCTACTGCGAAATTCTGCCTGTGAGCCTCTAGAGAAACACCTCCTGGCATCAGCATCGCGAGCATCCTTATCGACCCACGGCAGGACCTGCAGAGAACAGAGGAGCTGCTGCAGGGAGGGGCTCTGGGCAGGACCCTAAATCAGGTGTGTGATGCCCCCCCGAGAGGAGTTTCTTTCCCCATTGCCTGAACTGGGAACGTGACAGCCCAAAGGTAACTCGTGGGAGTTCCCCCAAGGGCAGCAGGAGATGTGCGGAATATTTCCAGCTCCCGTTGCCATTGGAGATGCAGCTGAGTGCAAAATTGGTGACTCTCCTCCTCAGTCATAATTAGCAGACGTTCTCTTCAGGAGAGCTGGATCGATGCAGCACAGCACCATCGGCTGGCATCGCTGCAGCTGTCAGGGCTTTAAAATGAAGCTGCAGGAGAAATGGAAGAGAAGGGGAGAGGGGGAGCAGAGTCCTGGGGAGCCAGAGATGGGGAGAGGACTTTGGCTGATTGAGGCTACAGCTGCTGGAGGGTTCCTGCTGCCTGGACTTGAGAATCTAAGATAGCTCAGGTTATTCCTGTGAAGAAAATGCTTTATTAGTTACAGTTGGGAGCTGAATACTTGGGCTCTGGTGCTTTCTGAGGCCTGTAGCTCACGCGGTTTGAAGGTGGCAGAATGAGCTTGGTCCCTCTTACGAGATCTCCGGTGTTAGCTTGTTGCTGACTCCTACATCTGAGGAGGGAGAGTTCCCGTGTCTGCTGGAAGCAAGGCAGGTTCGTGGCTATTTTGTGCCTGGGAACAGGCTGCAGAGGAAGATGGAGCTTGTGGCACAGGCTGGTAGTTCCCTTGTTCTCATCCTTCATGTGCAGACATATGGCAGCGGCTGAAACCCAAACAGGATCCATGCTGGCTTCTGCTGCATTCAAGAGCTTCTCAAGAACCTCCACAGTCATCTTTTGTTGTGATTCAGTTACCTTCTGCTTCTGGTTATGCAGACTGGGGGTTTCCGTGAGATTTGTTTATGACCTCTCCATTGAAAAGCAGAACTGGGATTAAAAAAAAAAAGCCGTGTAAATATTGAAACCATTGCTGAACACTGTGTGCTAGGCAGAATACTCATAGTTCATTTTTTTCATTTTTGATCTTCTTGTGCAGGCAAGGGAGAAATAACAATATTGTCAACGCAATCCTACATCTAGTGTACTAACTGTGACAGGTTTAAGCTCCTGGAGCTGCTGTGTCCTCCCAGCCTGGCTGTGCAGCCCACAAGACACGTGAAGCTGCCGTCGTCAGGTTCAAAGTCCAGCCTCCAGCTGTGCTTGGTGGAGCCTGGCTTTCCTGGGCTGAGTGTGAGCTGGACCGGACAGCTTGGCTTTCATCATGAGCTCATGGATCTGACACTGAATCTTGGCTGCTGCACCTCTCCATCCATCGCCAGATTTTTCATAGAAATGCTGCAGTCCATGAGCACTCAGCACACAGAATTATTTAAAAAAACCAAACTCAACCCTTGCTAATCATTTTTGTAAACTATTGTAAACTATTTTGAAAAAATACCGGCTTTACCAGTGCAGACTTCATTGCCATGGTAACTGATATAAATGTCAAATCTCTTATGTTTGTGTTTGATTCCAGCTTTGTGTATTTTTATTGATCATTTTGTATTTGTTTTGCAGAAGCCACTCTTGGCCCAGAAACAAAGGAGTTTACAACTTCTGCTCCAAATGCCAGCAAGGCAACATCATTTTCAACTGCAGTGATAAACAGTACGTTGTCCCCAACGACTATACAGACTATATTTCCTCTGAGTTCCTCTGACAATAGTACCTCTGCTTTTGCAGATGTTTCATGGACTCAGTTTAACATAATTATTTTGACAGTTATCATCATCGTTGTGGTCCTACTGATGGGCTTTGTGGGCGCTGTCTACATGTACCGCGAGTATCAAAACAGAAAACTGAATGCTCCTTTTTGGACCATTGAACTCAAAGAGGACAACATCAGTTTTAGCAGCTACCACGACAGCATCCCCAATGCTGATGTTTCGGGGCTTCTGGAAGACGATGGGAATGAGGTGGCACCGAACGGACAGCTGACGCTGACAACTCCCATGCATAATTATAAAGCTTAGAAGGAGTTGGCTTAAAAAAGTTCCAGGGCTTGTTGAGGGGGTATCAGGATCCGTGCCAAGGCTCCACGCAGAGGAAGTTGCTCTTCAGATACTCTTGTGCTGGGCGTGCTGTAGCTCGCAGGTGAACAGAGAAAAAGCGTAGGACAGCCGAATGTCAGGGGATAGGGTGGAACGCGTTCAGTGTCCTGTTCTCCATGCAGCTCCATAGAATTCACTGGTGTTACAGACTTGATGATGCTCTTCTTTTTTTTTTTTTTTTAATGAAGAGGTGGTGGGGTGGAGAAAGCAGTACCCCATGATTAACCAGAAGGTACTTGATTTCCAGCCAACTTAACACTTATGTCCTCTTCCTTTAGTTTGGAAAGTGGTTCATGGATTCACAGTGGATTTTCAGGAAACAGACCTTTGTAAAAGCTTCAGATTAGTTCCTGATATCAATTTGTTTCAAAAGGAGGACAAAAAAAGGGAAACAATTGTTCACTGTACTACCAAGAGGCAAGTAGAGGAGTGAGTTGCACACTTGAAAAAAGTCACCATTATCGGTTTCTAGTAAGCAGGAAAACAGGAAAAAAAAATTAAAATATTGGAGTTAGGGAGGAGACTAAGCTTTTCCCTTTGAGTATTTATACAGGGTGATGATGCTATTAAAACATAGCAATCCATTATTTTTTTTCTAGAAGGAGTTAATGAACTTGTATAGTTTCTGTGCAAGGGAAGACGACAAGACATCTCAGGGTTGCCATGTAAAAATAAAAGCTAGGCTTAATACCCTACCCTGATAGAAATGGTGTGTTCTGTATATACAATGTAATATATCTTCTTGGAATTGTATTTGTAATTATTTGTAAAAAAGACAACCAACCAAAAAAACCCCAACAACAGAACCATGAACCCCTCCCCAACCTCCTCTATTCCCCAAGTCGTATTTTATCATCTAGATTTTAATTGTACAGCGGTTAGTGGCATTGTTTAAAAAGAAAAAAAAAATGAGGATTGTTTAAAATACTGTAAATTAGATTGCAATATTGTTGGAGCTGGGACTCTGGCAAACACCGACTGCTTAAAGCTTTTCTTCTGGTGTCATTGAATAACTTTTTTAGAGAAAATGTGAGTGCTCCCTCCTTGCATCTGTCAAATTTTCCCGTTCCTTTACATACAGAGTGAATACCAGCGTCGCCATGAGTAGGGCCTAGTAGGTGTCCAAAAATCGGATGTACCATTCTGCTACTTGCTTTTAAATCCTTATCCAAAATGCAGATACTGGGATGAATGCATTGAGAGCCTGATCTCGATGGCCAAGCTTTTCGGTAGCAGCCGCTCATTACATGAGTGGATCTCATTGCCGTCTCTCCCGTGCTGACATGGTGATGGGGGGACTTGCCGGAGTGCTGAGCGCAGCCTCCTGGCCTCTTGAAGGGCAAAAGCAAAAATCTCCTGGATTTGGGTGGAAACGGCTTTCAGCCGAAGAGCTGGCAGGAGCCGGTCTGAGCTTCTAGGCTTAAAAGCTGAAAGTGCACGGATGCGTTCAGGGAATTCATGTAGCACAAGGTGATGGGGGGGAATCAGCTGTCAAAAATAAAAACCTACAGAGAACTTCAGGTTTTACAGATTCCCCTGATTTTTGTGGGTGGCTGGTGGGCTCTTAGCAGAAGGAGCACAACTCCTGGGCAGTGCAGCACAGGGAGGGCGCAGCTCCTCGCCGGTACCTGCTGTGTGCCTCCAGGCAGGCGCCGTGCCCTCCCGGTGCTGGGGAGCTGCCAGGGCTGACCCGTGAAAATCAATACCATGATATTTAAGCAGAGCGTGAAACAAATATTTCACCTAATGCGTGACCAACCTCAGAACTGAAGCTGCGTTGCTGTGCGTGTTGGTGCTTTGCAAGCGACGGGTGCTGAGGAGGAATGAAGTACCTGCTAAAGGTCAGCAGGAGCTGACTGATGCATCCTCAGCGCCAGGCAAAAAGAAATATTTCTCGAGATGAGAAGTGGTAGGAAGAATGTGGTGATTATTTATTTGCTTTCTGGTGCTGCATGGAGGCTTTTCTTATCCTTGGAGACTTTGGGGGTGGGAGGGGAGGATGGGTGCTTTAAACACATGCACAAAGATGCCATTTCTGCCTCAAAAACTTGCTGCCTGATTTAAAGATGAGGCACGGTAAGGAAGAAGGAAAATAGTTGAGGATAACCAAGGGAAATGGTGAGGACAGAATGTGATATCGCATATAGGGCTGAGCTGATGGAAGAGCTCCCGTTGCCTGCCGTGGGCCTGGGTGAGGTCCTATAGTTGATGTGATAAATTTGGCTGATGTCGTTCAGAGCAATGGCACTTCTAGTTATACAATGGGGGAGGACTGGAGGAGAAAATCTGGAGATTGCTAATCCTCGAGTTACTTGCCAAACTTTTAAAGAGCAGAGTGGTGACAAAACAGAAAATTTCCTAAAAATCGTAATTATTTAACAGCGCTGATTTAGCGATACACTTGCACTTGGTCACTTCATGGGGTGGGGAAGGGTAATGCAGGAAGTGTTGGCAGCTGGGACTGATGCTCGCAGGCAAAGTGAAGGACAGATTGTCCACTTTCACGTTTCCAAAATATTTCAGTAGGTCTTTTCATCTTTGCCGCAAACCACCTCAAATTTTGGTGTGACTGTAAGGCTACTCTACAACAGGAACAGGCTTTGATCTTTCTCTTGGTGTAGAAATAATGACCACCTGCAAAACCAGAGTGTGAGTCAGGATGCTGAGCCCTCCATCCCTGCCTGCCATGGCACAGGAGTGTTTGCCTCTGGGCTGCTTCTGCCCTCCAGCGACTCTAACTGCTGTGTGTGAGCCTGGGGTTTGAAAAGAGGAGAAGGAGGTGGGGATGCCTTACAGCCTGGGAGGGAGGGTGGCACAGCCATGCTGCTGTCTGTGGGTCACACCGGGATGAAGGGACCTAGACGGCCCCTGCAGAGGTGGTGGGGAGCTCGGGTGGGCAGCAGGGACCTGGCTGCCCAGGGGTGGGGAGCAGAGGAAAGCACAGGATGTTCTTTAGCAGGGACTGGAGCACAGTAAGGATGTGGCACTGGGACAAGGCTTGTCAGATGGCAGAATGACTCAGTAGGAAAATACCAGCCATCTCCAGCCCACCAGGCCTTTGGTACAGAGGAACATTTATGAACGGAAATCGATGCCTCAGCAAAGAAAGAGTAAACAGCTTTGTGTTCGACCTTGGTGATGTGAGAGGAGCTCTTCCTTGCTCTCTCCATCGCTCGTGCAGCCGTCCCCTGGGCACCGCAGCGGGTGAGGAGGAAGCTGAGCCAGTTCTATCGCCAGTCAGCTTTGGGTGGCGTTGCATTTTGAAGGGGTGCAGTGGTAAAACACCTGTGCCAGGGTACTAAAGGCCACCAGGACCTGCAGTGTGTTCCCCCTTGTCATGGAGCTTCCCAGCTGTTGCGGTTTGCCCTACACCACGTTGGGGTATGGGCAGGTAAACCAGAAATGGACTTTCGGGGCTGCATTGAGGCCCAACTCAGAAGCAACCAAGACAAGGGGAAGGCATCTGGGTGACTTCTAGGGCTGCTGTGGCAATACAGATACACGTGGCTTTCCTGAAGGGCCACCGTCCATCACCTTCTAACGGGACATGGCGCTGTTGGCTGCGGTGGTGTGGCTGTTGTGGAGAAAGGCAGCTGATGGCACGGTACGGTAGCTGTAGAGCACAGAGAAGGTACCACAAGGCAGGTGAAGGCTGGGTGAAGGTGGGAGACCAGCTCCCAAGGCACAATCCTCAGGGTCGTGATGGCTCTGTGGATCCAGCCGGGCTGGACGGGGTGAGTTCAGTTCCACAGTCAGGTAACTGAAGGTGAGAGGATATAACGGGGCGGTTAAAGGGCAAAAAGCAATGATGTGCCAAAGGCACGGGGCAGCCGGGATGGCTTACGACTTGGGAGAGCATTTGGTAAGCACAGAGTGCAACAGGCATGGAAAAATGCAGTGGGGTTAATGTGGATTAGATGATCTTGAATCTTACGAAGCACTGTAGCTAGAAATAACTGCGTGGAGCGCCAGCCCTGGGGAGCTGTCGGGAGATGTCATCCGTTGGAATGATAATTCCCTGGGACCAGGCTGAGCAAACTTAGCATGCTGGAAACCATTTATGACAGAGGAGGGGATGTATCCAGCATCCTTCAGGTATCCTGGGCCAGTTAACCACTGCTGTACAGCATCTTTATCTCAAACGTTACAGGCAATGTCACTGTGGCAGAAAGTTTGCACAGTCTCCTTTAAATAAAGGATATAAGATTGAATCCTAAAAATATGTTTCTCTTTAAAGTGAAGTTTTAAGATGAGCTCCCACAGGACTCTGCTCCTCATGTGTCAGAGGGATGGATTAAATAAGGAAAATGTGGGCCTTAAAAATTGTACTTGCTCCCAACTGAAACACATCAGTCTCCCTACACATCCAAATAAGGCGTCTCCTAAGCATATGCCATGCTTACAAATGCATTTCTAAAAAGAAAAAAGTGTATGATTTGAATATATGTCAGAATTTATACAGAAGAATGTTATTTAAAATGAATAAAAATAAATGTATATAATTTGTATCTATGCCACTGGATTTTTGCATTTGTTTTTTGTTCACTGAAGTTCAGTCGGAGTATTTCCACTGATAGCAACCAGAGCTGGACTGCAGCCTAAAGGATCGAATCTGATCTCATCCCTGTAATGACATTGTTCCAAGAGAATTATTTCTTCATTACACCCCTGTATGTAAGATGAGAACCATGGCACAAAAATGTGTTTTAACATCAGATATTCATAAGTACAGTTGACATTGTGTCAGATAATCCACCTCAGAAATTAACCCCATCATCTCTTGTAGCTGCTTATTAACCATTCCAGCTTTCAGCTACTTCCATTAACATGGTTGGTAGCCAGACAGCCAACGTGTATTTCCCATTATTGTCTCTAATATTCACAGAGACATATTCTGTCAGAGATATATAGAGTCATTAAAAATGAAGCCTACAAAACAAAGCTAAAAATTGGAAGAT